AGTGCGACTTCACTGAAGCGTGTTTCTTCGGCCTTTAGGCTGTTTTCCCCGCTCACGCTGCACAACACATCTTCTTTGCAAAATTATTCTGTTTGCTAAAAAACCTCCGAGGGAGGACGAGACGAAGAAGAAGAAGACGTGTTTTTATGTGCAGCTGAGAATTTGTCTCTGCTTTGCTAAAGTGGAAAACTCGGTGCATCGGTACTGTTATGTCATCCTGTTACACCTTCTCCTGGAGAAGCCAGTGCAGAATGTGCAGAACATCTGGATGGAAACAAAAGACAAAAAAAAACGTTTTCTTGTGAGGCTGCAAAGTGGAAGGAGTGAGGTAACGCAGGATTCACAGACGACGATGAAAAAATTAGAGAAAAGAGGAAAAGATAGAGCAGAGGAGGTCTGCTCAGTGACCCGCTGACCTCCACGTTTGGGAGCTGACAAGTTTAACTGCAGGCTGAAACACACACACACACACACACACACACACACACACACACACACACACACACTCTGACTCAGAGTATTTCTTATGATGACACATCAAATCACAGAAGCTGCAGCTGAAGGGAAACAGCAAGATTTTATGAAACTCCCTCATAACTGCATCAAACCTGCACATGCTGCGTTCAATGACGCCAAACTAACGAGACAATAATTAATTTAAAGTCTAAAAAAAATTGGGCCGACTTTTTGATACCAAAAAAAGGCCGATATCTTCCTTAGATCTATCTTTGATCTGTAGTGATAGATATAGATGACCACATGTATTGTGTTGATCCCTCAGTTATCAAACACTTTATAAGATTTATAACATAGAAATGCTGTTCAACTGGAGAATAAATCGAGTAATATCAGCGCATATCTAAGATAAAATTAGCTCATACATAGTCACTGGATATGCTGATATTGGCCGATATTATTGGCTGTTTGATTAATCGGTCGGGCTGTAGTACACACTACGTCCTGTAGGGAGGGTGAGTTTCTGGCCCAGTTTGAACTTTTCTACTGACTCCTCCTTTAATTCTCTACAAACCGTCATCGTCTCAAATGTTACAAACAGAATTAAGACCCGCAAAAGCAAAGAAAACACTTCCTGAAAGGCGGGCACTGATTGATATCTCTCACAAACATCTTCCAGGTGAAACATGAGAATCGTGGAGGCTGAGTTTGCTGCAGCTTAATCTGCATGTTCAGATCTCGCAGCGTCCTTCAACAACATGAACAAATGCATCATGGTCGGCTCCAAAGCTGCATATTTAACATCTTATCTGCAGAGCTGAGGTGTTTAAGACAGTAGGGAAGGGGATGAAAACAACACCCTGAAGATAGATATTCCTCTGCAATAACACTTCAAATTAAATCAGTGCTTGGCTTCTTTCTGAGGCCGCAGCGACGCAAACAAACCATCTACACATGTCAGTTTGAAAGTTTATTGATTTCAATTTTGTTTTTCATCACTCAAAACAAAGTTCCTGTATCGGCCTCCCCTCCTCCGTCTGCCTCTCTCTCTCTCTCTCATCATTATTCTGCCCGTCCCTCTGACCCATCTGTGTCTCCCAGACGCTCCCACCACTCCCCCTCTCTCTCCCCTCCTCCCTCACATTGACCCCTTTTGTTCACAGCTATTGGGTGGTGGAGGTGGCGGTGCAGACGGGGGTCTGGTCAGCTGTTTCCTCAGTCTGTGTGTGTCTGGGCAGTGTGGGAATGTGTGTGAGAAAAAGTAGCAGACAAAGCTCGGTGCAGCGTCAGAGTGTGTGTGTCAGCCGGTGAGGACACACACACGCACGGCGTCGCAGCATCCTCAGGACATGTAGTTTGGACTTCTCCTGCAGCGGGGACGTTTGTTTTTTTTTTTAGTTTGTTTTGCTTTTCTTTTGCTTTAGTTTGGAGAAATATCTGCCGGTTAGAAACTCTGGAGTAACAAACTTTTAAAGCGGGGGAACGTTTCGGTCGGTACAACGTGGAGACGATGCAGCCTTCAGCAGGAAGTCACAACCATGAGAACTGTGTTCAGACACAACTGTGCGGTGAGTTCATCCTCTCTGCGTCAGCAAACAGAAAACCAGGACGCATCCTCTCCGTGTTTCAGACATGGATTTATGGTCTGTTTAATCAATGCTGACTGAAAGAATATGAGCTTTAAATTCTTTAGATTTTCATCTATCAAGGTTTTCTGCGTTTGTGTTTTGCATCTTTGGAAACTGAATGTTTGTCGGGTTGAGACTCTTTTTGCATGAGGAGCAACGTGTGGCAAAAAACAAAACCCTTCTCCTTTGAGTTTTGTGTGTTTTGTTATTCCTTGATAACTTTTCATAAAGACGTTAAACCTGCAGCTGTAAATTCAAAACCCATACAGCAGGATGATTCTCTCTGCATGAGTTCCCTGAACAACCTGGCAACCCACACATGTTTTAACGTGATTATATCTTGTCTATAACTTCTCTTCATCACTTAAAAACTCATTTAAAACGCTGGTTTTAAATGAGGAAAGTGGTGCATTATCTCCTGAGTCTATAAATATGTATTGTGATATTTGTTGACGTTTCATTTCCAACCTTTCCGAAGACGTTGATATGGAAATAAAAACAACAAAGACGAGTGAGGATGATTCTCGGTGAAAACACTCACACTCTGGGCTGAAGAGGTTGGAGATCATTGGCCTCACTCGTCCATTAAAAGAGGAAGTGTCCATCTTCAGAGTGTTGTAAATGAGCTAACAGCTAAAAAGCTAAATTTCAGATTTTTCCCAGTGCAGAGGAAACCTGCAGGATTTGAAGCATGAGACGGTCAGTAGAGGGAGTTTTGGAGTCTCTGCCTTGCGCTCACTTTAAGTCCTCCTGAGTGCATTAGCTCTCGATGGCTTCACTTGGGAAATCGGCTTCTGACGATGAATTAGCTGTAAGACGGGGGCGCCGTTAACCTATCGGTTAGACCGAGCGTCCCATGTGCAGAGGTTAAAGTCCTCCATGTTGGCGTCCCGGGTTAGAACCGGACCTGTGGCTCCTTTCCTGCATGTCATTCCTCTCTCTTTCTCTCTTTCCCCCTGGTTTCTGACTCTATACCCCCATCCCTCCCCCAGAGCTGGAAGACATATTTACACGCTCTTGTTAAAGATTTCCGTCTTTTTCGTCGTCTTGCAAGAAATACGAGATGGTGAAGCATTGCCCTGAGCAGCGTTGATGAAAATAGAGGAAAGGAAAGCAATGCTGTGATGAGAAAAGAGCGTTTGCAGGACGAGCTGAAGAAGAATAAAAACGAGATTAACTAATTTAAAGATGATCAAAATAAGATTGAAACATGTCTGCTGTCAAGCACGAGTACAGAGTGGCTCCTTTTGAGACAGACATTAGAAAGAGAGAGAGAGGAATGACATGCAGGGACAGAGGATTTGAACCCAGGCTGCCCTCCATGAGGACTACAGCCTCCGTACATGGAGCGTGCACCCTAACCACTCGTTATTTCCTTTTTAATATAGATGGAAATGGAAATAACAGGAGCAAAATGTACTGTTTCATAGTGAAACATTTAGAAGTGACACAAAATACAGCAACCGGTATTCCCAGGATAAAGGGACCAGGATCACTCTCCGGAGCGAACAACTGGGTTAAAAACTCTTGAATCAAGAAGCTTTTAAAGGATATAAATGTGGAAAATCAGACGTCGGCGCTCCCGTGTGATGATAAATTGTGAAGACAGTGGATCGTGATGTGTTGAAAAGCAGCAGCTGAGGGTGAAAGTCGGACATTAAAGTCAGATTCTGAGATTTGAGCAGCCAGCGTTTGTGTTTTTAAAACCCGACTTACTGAGTTTATATCGACGCTTTCACGACTTTAACGTTGTTTTGGGACATTTAAACTCTGACTCCCGGAGAGCAGTTTGTTATATTTCTGTTTGAGGTCGATTCTTGATTCTGTTTTCGATCTGACGTGTCAACAGTCAAAGAAATGAATGATGTCAGACGTCGTGAAGAGAGGTTTAAAAATCGTAGATGTTTTATATTTAAGGTTATGATGGAGTGTGTGTGTGTGTGTGTGTGTGTGTGTCTTTTGTGTTGTGTAACCTCGAGCTGATCAGAATTGCGTAACGTGTGTGTGTGTGAGAAGTGTCTGAAACCCGTCTGCTGCTTTCTGCTCTCCTGTCTGACCCCTGCCTGCCCCCCGAGAAAAAAACAGTGAGAAAAAAGGCTCCGATTGTGTGTGTGTGTGTGTGTGTGTGTGTGTGTGTGTGTGTGTGTGTGTGTGTGTGTGTGTGTGTGTGTGTGTGTGTGTGTGTGTGTGTGTGTGTGTGTGTGTGTGTGTGTTGGTAGGGGGAGGGGGGGCTTAGAGCAGGCTGTCTCTAAACAAAGCTCGGCCTGTCTGGTCTAGTCTGGCTCAGTGTGTGTGTGTGTGTGTGTGTGTGTGTGTGTGTGTGTGTGTGTGTGTGTGTGTGTGTGTGTGTGTGTGTGTGTGTGTGTGTGTGTGTGTGTGTGTGTGTGTGTGTGTGTGTGTGTGTGTGTGTGTGTGTGGACAGTGACTGAAATCTGTTTTCTGTCTCTTAACACGATAAGAACATAAATTAGTTTGTTGATGTTGTGACTCTCAGCTGATTAAAGTCACAGTGGGGGTTATTTTTTATTCACGATTTAAAGATCACATATCCTCCTCCTCTTCTTTGTGCCCTTTGTGATGTCATGAAGGGAAAACCTCCAAACGGCCTGTTTGAGCACACATTTTCTGAAAAGTGGAGCAGGCAGAAGACGGAGAGGATGGACTTTTCTCATCATTGGGGGGTTTGTAGACGGAATAGAGACACATATTAGAGTTAGAGGAACATGGGGAAGAGGGTTTTACAGAATATGTTGACCCTTTAAGTTTAGAGGCGGCTCACAGTCGATAAGAGAAAACCCAAGTACTTGCAGCTTTTGACGAGCTCCTTTTTGATATTGTTTAGTATTTTGATTTCTTCAGTTTTTGGGATTTGCAAAAACTGACCTTAAAGTGACCGTGATTGTTGTTTGTGTGTCCGCAGCCCAGCTGGAGTTCGTCCAGATCCTGGTGATCGTGGTGGTGATGATGGTGATGGTGGTCGTCATCACCTGCCTGCTCAACCACTACCGCCTATCAGCTCGCTCCATCCTCTCCAGACACGCCCCCGCACGCCGGAGACACCTGCCCCTGGCCAACGTAAGACACATTCACACCTCATGATACTCGGACACAGGCGTGGAATATATTCCTCGCCGTTTGTCATGTTTTCATATTAATTAAACATGTGAAACAACGATATTGTTCATGTTATTTAAGGTAGTGTTGTAGTACTCCAGTCCAAGACCGGTCTCGAGTACCACTTTTTGAAGGTCTCGGTCTCGTCTCGGACTGGGTGGACTCCAGATTTCAAATCAAGATGATTGAAAACGCGTCTTTCTAAAAAAAACAAATGCCACCGCAACCCGACATCAGACAAGTAGAAATGAACAGATGGACACAGGAATAAATACTCATAACCACCATATTCAAAACATCGGAGGATCTGAGCCGCGTGATCAGAGTTTGACTCACAGTGAGGAGAGTTTGTAACGAGAAGAGGAGAGTCGGAGTTTGAGGAGCAGTAGAGTGACAGGAAGTGATCACAGAGATGAAACAGCGCCGCAGGCTAACGCTAACGCTAACACACTGACTCACGTCTTCATTAGAGGCTGCAGTGGCACACACACACGCAGACACACACACACACGCACACACACGCACACACACGCACACACACGCACACACACGCACACACACACACACACACGCAGACACACACACACACGCACACACACACACACACACGCACACACGCGCACACACACGCACACACGCACACACACACACACACGCAGACACACACACACACACACACACGCACACACACGCGCACACACACACACACACAGACTTCAGACCTGAGGCTTCTGAAAACATATGACTTCACTTCCTGAATCACCTGCTACTGAATCACTGAAGTGTGTGTGTGTTCTGTGTCTCCATATATGAGTAAAAGATGAAGCATAATGGTGCCCCCACACACACACACACACACACACACACACACACACACACACACACACACAGACACACAGACACACACACACACACACACACACACACACACACACACACACACACACACACACACACACACACACACACACACACACACACACACACACTCAGACGGAGCTGCTGATAAGCTCTGGGGAGTCATTGTCCTAGTTAATTTGGATTAGCAGACAGACACACTGACACACACACAGACAGGCAGCAAAAAAGCTGCACACACACACACACACACAAGTTGGAAAAGTTCCTGACAAACATTATCGCAGAAGCAAAGAGCTGCCTTTGTCCTCTCCTCACTGAGAGCTCGGGCGACAGAGACACGTTTATTATGGGAATAAGCAATCCACTTGGGTCCACTCTGTGTAGCGTCAGCCCTTTTGAATACGCACAAAGACAATAACAACATTTGAGTCTCTTAACACTTTTCAGATTTAGACCAGAAACAGGTACAGGTTTATGTTTCTGGAAGGACTGAGGTTTAAAGATGCTGCAGAGGGAGAGCAGGCCTCACTCAGAGTTCAGGGTTTGTTGCCCAGCAGCAGAGCCCCCTAGTGGACAAACACGGTATCAAATCCATCTGCACTCTGCTCTCGACATCCTATCAGGTGTTATGTGACTCGGTGTGGTTTTTCACTGCTGGAAGATTAACAGAAAAAGTCTAGAAAGTCAACATCACACCAATGTTGCTTTATTGTCTCCGAGTGGAGACTAAACTAAAGAACTTCTGCTCTGCTGCAAACGTTCTTGACTGTCACAGCTTGGCATAAGTGTTGGGAGTCCAGACCACACTATCCCAGAACGAGACCAGAGTGCTCTGAGTCCGAGTCAAGACCAAGACCAGATCAACTTGCTTTACATCATGAAATAAAATGTTGATCTGGATTTGTCAGGTGAATGTAGATCAGTGTAAAGAAATATATGTAACTAAACATGAGATGAATATGTTTGTTAAGATTTGAGTTCCTGCAGGTGTCTCTCCTCCTGTCGTCTCCATCCACTCCGGCTGATGTGCAGCAGGCATGTCACTCGCTTAGACCGAAACCCCGGCAAAGTTGCGGCTGTAACCTTTCAAAATGAATGGTTTAAATCATGAAAAGATGCTGTTTGAAAAGACATGTTTGGTAATGGGGTCGTCTCTCTCTCTCTCTCTCTCTCTCTCTCTCTCTCTCTCTCAGGAGGGCAGTCTGTGGTCCTCTGAGGCGACGGGGACAAACAGCGGTCTACACGAGGTCAGTTTTTCTTAAACATTCAGTCTGTACATGAACTACAAATCTAACAAAATGAACAAAGAACTAAATGTACAACAACTCTTTCAATGCTCTTCCTCATCCACGCCCAGGTGTACAGCCCCCGCCCTCCAGACAGACCCGCCCCCTCGTCCTATCTTCAGAGGGAGCCTCAGTCCCAGGCCCCTCTGCAGTCCCAGCGCTTCCAGCACACGTACGCCCCGAGTCGCTTCCAGCCCACGTACCCCTACCTGCCCCAGAGCCTCATCGACCTCCCCCCCACAATCTGCCTTTCAGACGGGGAGGAGCCCCCGCCGTACCAGGGCCCCTGCACGCTGCAGCTCCGAGACCCCGAGCAGCAGATGGAGCTGAACCGCGAGTCGGTGCGAGCGCCGCCCAACAGGACTGTGTTCGATTCCCACCCGATTGACCCATCCAGCTCCTGTCTGCAGGCCAGGTACTGATCCCTCTGACAAACCTGCTCCCACAGATTCAGTCTCCATCTTGGTGTTGACCCTTTTTGTTTTGCTTACAGTCTGCAGGCGCCTCCGCCGAGCGTCCACTCCGGCGTCAGTGTGCTAGAAGCCCAGGAGGCGTTGTCCCGGCAGCAGAAGCCGGGCTCTCGAGTAGACGGCGCTCCCCCGACCTACAGCGAGGTGATCGGCCACTACTACCACCCGACGTCCCTGACGCCCGGCCACCACCATCGGACTGTGTCGTCCACACAACCACCGCCGTCCTCGTTCATGCACGGCCTGCTCCGACCTCCACCTCAGCGGCGAGGAAGTGTGGACAACAGGAACGCCAGGAACACAAAGGAGAAATCCCAGAAGCCCCAGCAGGTGTGACAGAACGGCTTCGTTATTCCAAGACTATTTCTGCTCGCCGCCTGGGAAGTTTCCTCAGCAAAAGGGGAATGACCTGGTCTTTGGTAAAAAACGGTTTAAGGGCTGGTTAGTTGTAGTTTCAGCCGGGCATGTTGGTCAGTGTCCTGGATCATCCTGGGACTGGGATGGAGTCGGCTTTTGGATAGGTAAGAACACCTGGAAGCCTTGAACCTCCTGCAGAGCACATCAGAGGAGGAACGCCTCGTCCTTTTCCTCCTCCTATCAGACTGACCTATCCAGAGTTCATTCATTATAAATATTTACATGTTTGTTTGTTTGTCTTCTTCGCGCTGACGAAAACATTTCCTTTCCAGACAAAATGGCGAAACGTTGCAAGGTTTTTAATTTTTTTGTGATAATCCCCCAGTCACTGCTTTGACTTCATTTGTTTTCCATTTCCAGTGACTCCTGCACCATGAGCTGCACTCCCTTGGACAAATGGCACGTTAGAATATCTCCAGAGAGACTTAAGGTTTAGTTAGCGTAACTAGCTTAGCATCGTGCTGAACGTCCTCGAGCTAAATGTTCTGCCTTATATCAACCAACCGGTGCAGGAGTCCTCGCTTAAACCCCCCCTTCTGTTGTTTTTAATTTGATGTTTTCTGAAGAAGGTTTGCACAAAGTTCAAGACTGTTCCCCGGAGAAACAGAAACAATCTGCAATATGACGAGGAACAGAAGGTCAGAGGAGGTATTTTTATACACTTGATAGATTCTTAAAGATGTTTTGTTTGTTGTCGTCTAGTTTGAGAAAAAGAGAAACTTCAGTGATCTGTTGAGGTGCCGACTCTCACGCTGAAATATCACGCTGTATATACACACACATGTATGCAGACTGAGAGCCGACCGGACGATTTAGAGTTATTTATATAAATGCTGAAAAAGAATTGCACTATTTTTTTAGAATGAGCAGATGGAGCGTGAGTGAGAGACTTTGATTGTGAAGGAGCTCCGTCTATGGAGGCGTAGATGGACCGAATGAGACCCTGAAAACGTTTACTAGAAGGGGGCGGGACCACTCAGTGCACAGCGGCAGTATCACGACACATATCATGGAGATCAGCTGACTTAAGCTCGACAGACGCACTCGGAACAAACGTTACCGAAACCATTGATGATGAAAGAAACAAATCACCCCTTTTTATGCAAAAGTCCGAGTCCTGAGAGCGAAAACCGAAAAGTCAGCGTGGAACCTGTGGGCCCAATCAGAAAACTCAGCTGCCTCTGTCTTTCTCTCTCTCTCTCTTTTACCCCATTGGCCGAAATCGTTAGCCAATCCCAAAGCTGGTTGTCACTACCTCGACCAAACGAGTCAAAGCACATACAAGTTTGCTCATCAGACTTCTGCCTCATCCAAACGAACGTCTGAACCAATCAAGAAAATGTGTGATTTAGAGACTAGAGACTGTGTTTATGATTTTATTTGAATGTCCAAATCTTTGTTTTGTGTGGCGAGAGAGAGAGAGAGAGAGAGAGAGAGAAGGGATGTAGATCCAGGGACACATGCGTTAAAAAAGGAAAGAAAGCCAAGTGCCCAACAGGCCCTGAGAGAGTGATACGCTGTCTGTGCACTGCTGGGTCCACACACACACACACACACACACACACACACACACCCCCCTCTGGTAAGGTCTCTTTCCCCTTACAGGCATCTCTGAGCACTTTACTGCAGCAGGAAAGAGTCCACAATCTCCTGTCAGCCAGCGCTGGGCGTTAAACTCGGTACAAATCTTTACTTTTCTTTTTTCTTTTTTGTTTGAATTCACTGAATCATTGAGCAGCTCTGAACGGATGCAAAAAGTTCTGCTCCAAAGTCACTTGAAGCTTTGGTGCGTCTGTTTGAATCCGCCCCCCCTCTTAGCGCAGACGTGGAGTCAGAAGAGATGCTCTCTTCATACAAGACACAAGGTCCTGAAGTGACTCAGTCGTCTTCTTCCACCCTCCAAACACTTTCTGGTGCCGACCAAAATCAGTCGGTGGCGCTGAGCTTGGGCTCTGTTAAACAGTGGCATTGAATGTCTGGTCTCTTTCACAGCGATCATTCCTGAAATCTTTTTTAATAATAACAGTTTAGACATTTTGGAGACTGAGCATCTCTCCGCTTTGTGCTGCTGCCACTCGGATAAAAGAACCTTTGACATTTGAGAAATAAAACACCCCCATATTCTCTCAATAATAAAAAAAGACACTTTCTCTCATCGTGTTTGCAGCTTTGGAGCAGAACTTTTTTGTGCGCTGAACGCAGCACGAGACGGGTCGTCAAGAAGCTAGACACACTGAAGTGTTGAAAAGTGACACGAGTGTTTATGGCGGCCCTGTCGCGGGTCGTCCGTTGAAGAGTTGAAGGAATAAAAAGTGAAATTGTAGCTGATGAGAATATGCAGAATATGTTTGGTAGATGTGAAGGGACCACATGTTGGCACAAAGAAAAGCCAGCGATCTTTAGAGTCCAGTCTTTATGCAACAGCGCCCTCTACAGGGACCGGAACCAAACCACAGCCAAGACCCCCAAAACTGACTCGGCTCGAATTTGCAGAAGACAAGGAAAGACAAACGGCCAAAAAAAGTGAGAGTATCGAGTGAATCCCAAATGTTTTTGTCTTTTTTCCTTCTGAAACGAATCACAGACGTTGTAGGCCCCGTGTCCACCTGGCATTTTATTCTGAGCGCCAGGGTCTTTTCTCAATGAGTAGAGAGCGTTTGCAGCAGAAAGCGGTCGCCTGGAGAAAAGGCGCAGCGGCCAGCGTCTTTTTTCTGAGCGCTCCGAGCTGCAGATCTTTCAAATTTGCATCAGAGTCTCTAGAGATTTTCTGTTAATTTACTCGTCATCTGTAAAAGACAAGAAATTTTAATGGTTTTCAAGTTATTTCCAAAAATCGTAAAGATTCTTAAAACCATCGGGGCGAAAATGATTCAGGTGTGTGTCCAATAAAAGCTAGTTTTTTTTCGGCTTCTGAAGCAGCAAATTTGTTTCCTAACCCAAAATAATTTACAATCCAGGATGCGAGGAATGTTGTTATCTCGTCCTCATGATCACACAGCAGACTGAATCACTCCTCAAACTTCTGTTCATATTTTAACAAATTTAAAACTCCGGAGCTGCATCCGTCCGTCAAATCAGGTGTTTTATTTGTGATTCGACTTCAGTGATTTAGAAAAAGACAAAAATAGAACTCATAATCAAAAGTCATTTCTTTCTCTTGTTTTGTTTACAGTCTCTGCTTTCCTTTTTTTTCAAATTTAATTTGAGCACTTGAAGATAAAAAGAAACGATTTTAAAGAATCTCTTGACCCAAAGCAGCCAAAGGAGTGACGAGTCGTTCAATCAAAAAAAAAAGAAGAGATCCTGAGCCCGGTCCTACCGACGGGCTTTGATACGTTATTGACCTTCCCTTAGGCTAGTCTCCTCTTTCCCTCCATCAGGATGAATCTTGTGTTTGGACTTGGCTGTCCCCCCCTTTAGTTTTTTAACGGTTTGGGTCCCTGCTGTTGAGGGTTTGCAGCGGGTATCAGAAGGCTGGACGGACGCTGAGCAGAGAGTAGTCGGTAGATTTATGTAGGTAGAGTCAAAGAGTAAAGACTGTGGAATCAATCTCTCGCTTCAGGGAAACCTGCGCTGGCTGACGATACATAAACAAAAAAGACGAGAGGAGAGGATGGAGAATCACACATTTATCCGCTCACACGCAGACGATGCAGCGCTCTGCCAGCACACACACACACGCGCCTTTGTTTACACGCAGAGAGGTGACAACAGGTTCGCTTTGCCTGTCTTTAACCATCGATATGTTCTAAATTCTCTGTTTTATTATGAAGTATTAAAACACAAGAACCATCGTGAAGTCGACAGTGACCTTCAAATCAAATCAGTGCAAAGAAAACGCAGAATTCTGTGGATCTCTCTGCTTCAAACCAGCCTGAAAGCAGTGTGACTTTTTGTTTAGTGAGCAGACAAGGTCTTTCCCACAGCAGAGTGTGTGTGTGTGTGTGTGTGTGTGTGTGTGTGTGTGTGTGTGTGTGTGTGTGTGTGTGTGTGTGTGTGTGTGTGTGTGTGTGTGTGTGTGTGTGTGTGTGTGTGTGTGTGTGTGTGTGTGTGTGTGTGTGTGTGTGACTCTGACTTGCCCTGGGAAAGACCTCCAGCTGTCTAGACAAAAACTAAACACACACACACTCAGACTAAACAAACGCACCCAGAAACCAGACCTTCAACACACGCACACACACTCACAGGTGAGCTTCATTCATACACTTACTTTTTTTTTTATTGAGGACCACACAAGATAGAATAACATCTCTCTCACACACACACACACACACACACACACACACACACACTCCACTCCCTCCTCCCTCCATCTCTGAATGAGCTCTTTCCTGTTCCTGTTAGAGATGCCTGCTGTCCAATGACGGAGCTCCTCTAAGACCGGCCCTCGCCTTCATTGGCCGGCTGGTGGTCTCCATTGGAAACGTTTACCATACATATATATCTATATTGTCTTTGCTATGTCGTACAAGTGTGCCTGCCTACGCTGAGACGGGCGAAATGTGAGTGGCTAGTTTGGGCTGTCAATCATCCCAGGCCACGCCTCCTTACTGTCTCAGACGATGATTGGATGATGATGATGAGATTGAGGATGATGAAGATGA